TCAATAATATAAACACCAAAAAGTAAACAAATCCAGTTTTATTTATGAACAAAATAACAGTTCATTGTTATGACATAGAATTCATTGTTACTCCAGGTTTGGTTTCATGTGAAATTGTAAAGCATTGATAAATTGTTACAAGTTGACCTTTCCTGCCTTTGGTGATTTCTGGATACCCCAATCAAGTGTGGAGCCTGGAGCCTCTGTCCTCTATACCTCAAGAAATACTACTTAAAGCTTTCACAGACCATGCATTTTTATCAAATTTTTTATCAGAAAGTCTTAGATAAAGGGTTATGTGAATACAAGAAAAATGTATATACAAACCTACTTCAAGCAATTTGAGGACACGGGAAAGCTCAGGAAATCATTACTAGAGAATGACGGTTACAGTTGTAAGTGTCCTTTTTTTCTATTGCTTTCCCGTTCTCATTTATGACTCATATTCAAGAGTCAGCTCTGATGCCCCTCTCATCTACATTCAGAAAAATTTCCCTAATCACTACATTTGTCCCCTCCCACACACAGAGGAGAGGTCGTGCAACCAGTTACTGTTAAACATTCATTTACATTTTTTCTCTTGCATAAATGTCTTTTCAAATTTTCAATGTAATTATTTGGAGTCTGAAAAGAGTGGTGCAAAATCTCACTTTCTGGCACAAGAGTAACAAAATAAGTAGTATTTACCAAATAATAAAAAAAGAACAAAGTACAATTTTTCCCACATATCTGGAAGGACACTTTGACCGAGCAGTATTCATGTTTAAATCTTAGATTTTAGTTATGACTATGAATAGTGAGAATGGGACTTTCTCAAGAAACAGAAAGATTTTGTAGCCACAGACTGAAAGTCTCTCAACTCATCTTTATTGCATATTCTCTCTTTAGTATACGTGCTCAAAGAATTTGTAAGCTATGTAAAAATTGACATGTATCATCTCATTCATTTGGGTATGATACACTCTCAAAATATAACTTAACATGCACAAAATCTGGATTCTGCCCAAGCAACACTCAGGAAAGCCTCTGAGAATCCAGAAATAAACATTCTGGGATATTCTGCAGGCCAGATGTGCAGACTATGAGATGGTATGTGGGAGAAGAGAGAATGAACCCAAGTCCTGTAAATCTAGTATGATTCCAATATGGCTTAGTTTCCTTTGCAACGATGAGAGAGAGCAAGCCTATTCCTTAGTTCCTATTTGCAGACAAGTCCAGAACATTTTTTAATATCAATTAAAAGTGGAAAGCAGGATAGGATTAGTGGTAATGACTCTGGGAGGCAAGTAAACAGCTCCACCTACGCATAGAGTGATTGTGAGCCTGTTTCTCTCAACAGATTTAATATCTGCCTCATTAAGGACATAATAGAACCCACTAAAAATTCTATACTACATTAATAGTGACACCTTATTAAATCACTGTGTTATCTTGTTCCCATTCCCTCATTTGAAAAACTAAGAAATTACTGCAGATGTTGAATTTCCTTTGCACGAACTATTCTTCAGTCAGAGACTCGTCTTACACCCCGCATAAAAGAGCTCTGCAGGCCCAACCCTAATTATTATTATTATTATATATATTTTTTGCTATCCAGAAAAATGGCTGCCCAACTGCTAGCTTTTGACTGTTTTATAGTTTTATATTCACACAAGTGCACTTTCAAACACAAACTGTTCAGAGCTTTTTTGTTCTTTAGAGATGTCTGTTTCTGTCATCCCAAGAAAATGTAAGAACAGTCAAATGCAGGTGTCTGGGCATGGCCTAACTACTATGGTTTTTTGTCCTTTCATCCCTTCCTCCCTCCCTCCCTCCCTCCCTCCCTCCCTCCCTTCCTTCCTTCCTTCCTTCCTTCCTTCCTTCCTTCCTTCCTTCCTTCCTTTGTCTTTTTTTTTTTTGAGACAGATATGTTTTAATGTACAGGGGGAAAAATCTCACAAAGGCTGATCCTGAAGTCTTGACATTCCCTCTGGTTGTCTAAAATTCCCTCTGAAGTAAACGGATTACTGCACTCCATATACCAAGGTGCTTAATGGGTAAATGAGGAACTACCCAAGGAAAAAGAATATTAATGTTAACAAAAGGGAAAAACCCTAATACAGAAAAAGTGATTTTGTTGTTGTTGTTGTTGGAAAAAAATGGGAGTTTAAACAGTACATTTATTTAATTTTAATTTCTGGGCTGTCAAACATCAGCTCTGAAGCCCTGATTCGGAACACATGCGGGAGCCCTTTGAAGTTCTGGCTGCTTTTTCTTTTTTAACAATGGCAGAAAGATATAAAGGAATTAAACTGCAACATAATCATGAAGCAGAACTTCTTTAACTTGTGATTTACAAATTGTCATTCTTTCATTTTTACAGGGCTTTGTTTTCCAAGTTTTTCGATGGCGTATACCTTTGGTAAATTTTTCTCCCCTTTCAGTTCAATTTTCGACTATTCTGTTCTCCCCCAAAATGAATCATCTACTTTTATTTTAATCAAGTAAAAATAACATATTGTGGTTTTCCGAAGAAAAGAAGGGAACTGGAAAATCCACAACAATATGTTAAATGGAACCTTCTGATAAAAGGCATAGGAATATAGGGCTTAGCTCTTAAAGTACCCAATTCTTGTGGCATAAAATTAAAAACTGTACCTTAAAATTTGATTGACTATAGAAAATGTCTACTTTGTTTTTCTGCCCTAATTATAAAAGCCCTATACTAAGGATTTCTCAATAAAAACTCTGTATTTCAAATTTAATCTGGTAGAGATCCTATATGAAAATACATATATCTAAATTGGTTTACTATCATTAAGTGGTTATGAATATTTATGCAAGGTACACAGGAAATTTATAACTCAACAGATCCTTTTTAAATATAAAAAGGGTAAAGATTCCTCATTCTACAACCAAAAAATTGCTGAGTCCTAAATAATCTTTCTCATTTTATTTTTCCTATGATCCAGTTGGTTTTGTCAGATAAAATTGTCTAATAAATATCTGCACCCTTTAAAGAATGGGGCTTCTATCTGAGGATTTCTTCTCTGGTATGTTCTTAATATTACAATTCAAAATTTATGATTTTATCAAATATATTAACTTTAAATGAACTTTTGGTGATAACAAGTCATCTTTGATGACAATTTTCAATTCTACACAGCAAAGTGAAATGACAAGCTGAAAGAATTACACCCATCAGTAGGATACTAAGGCAAACTCATACTGATTTGTAAGAATTAGCTACTAAATTTTCAGAACTTTTTTGAGAAAAGTCACTATTAATTTGTAATCTCTCAGTTTTTGCTAGTGAGTTCACATAGACAAATTGAATTTTTCTAAGTAGGAGAATTACACTACAGGCTCACTCACCCTGCACTATACTGTCCTCCCGTTGTTCATCGATTTTCTGGAGCGGGCCATTGTGAGACTTGTTACTGTGTTTGGCATATCGAATATGTCACAGGTAGCATGCCAGACTTTGCTGTGCGGGCGAGATACTCTCGGTAGCTTGTCCAGCTCTCCAAGAGGGGCGGAGGAATCGAACTTGGGTTGGCCGTGTTGGCAGCATGCAAGGCAAACACCCTACTGGCTGTGCCATCGCTCCAGCCTATCTATCTATCTATCTATCTATCTATCTATCTATCTATCTATCTTTATTATTGGGAAGATACGTCCAAATAGTGCTCAGGAATCCAGAGTCTCTGCTGGTGACTCATAGCCAGTGAAACCAGTAGTCCAAGGCAAGGGCCTGAGGCTGTGGTGTTGCCTGTGCCTTGTGGTGGTCGGGATACTCAGACCATCCAACAATGTTGGGGGTCTCCAGTACTCCAGTCAGCAATGTTCAAGGGACCGTGTGGTGCCAGGAATTGAGCCTACGTTGGGCACATAGTGGCATGCATCTTAATTGCAGTACTATCTCCTAAACCCTTATATATTATTTTATGAATATTTTGAGTAAAAATTGAAAACTGAAATTTCCTTGTCATTTTATTTTGGAGGAATATTGAAAGGGAGAAATAGTATATATAGAACTACTACTTACAAACTCCTCATATGTCCTTAAATATATATTCTTCCCGATTCCCTTCGCTATTGTCTGATGTATTAACTTTTTACATTCTCCTCTTATAGGTTTATAGTCTCCTACCTAAAATAAAAATGCATTTCATATCTACTGAACCACCTCTAAAACTGCTAATGAAAACTTACATATTCTGTGATGTCAATAACAATTAAGAAGTTTGGAATAGATTACTCTTAGTTTTGGGCACTAGATCAGGCACATGTGGTCCAAATGAATGAGGAATAAAATTATATGTGCATATATACACATATATCTACATATCTGTGTAAATACTGAAGAAGTGAGGGAGTGAACTGTATACTGCTATGTCATTACCTTAGAATCTTGGACTGTAAGTGTCTAGAAGGGAGGTACCAAGCATGTCAAGTAGCTTAATCCCTTAAGTATTAAATAATCATCAGATGGATTGCCAAACTTCCTCCCATTCTACTTTGACATAAAGTCTCCATCTACAAATGAAAAACATTTCTATGTCAAGAAACTTAAATTCTGTTATTCTGATATGCATGACTGTCTTGGATACAAAGAGATTTTAGATGTAGAAAAATAATATTTTCTTCCAAAAAAATGTGGAAGAGATTTTGATAAGAACAGGAGATAGTTTGATCATGGAAATTAGCCATGTGTTGAAAAGATTCCATTATTTATATACACTTGTATAACCTTTGCTCTAGTTCTCAAGAATGCCAGAGCTAGATTCTCTTTAATGCCCTAAAGAGAAAGAAAATTCTGAAGCAGAGAAAATAGTCATTTCTGAGTGTTAAATGTAAGTAGAAACTTTTTATTTCTATTATTTAAAAATAAACTCCTCTGTAGGTAGCTTTCTAATTGTCAGACTAGTATTATTTGTAGCATAGAATGAGAACTTTAATCTAAACATATTACTAAAATTCTGATTTTTCCCCCTTATGCAGAAGAGATTTTATTTAACGAAAACATGGAGCCCCTCATGAATTTGCATGTCATCCATGCAAAGGGGCCAGACTAATCTTATCTGTATTGTTCCAATTTTAGCATATGTGTTGCTGAAGTGAGTATAAGACCTGATATTTTAAGAGCTTCTAAGTATGTTTCTGGTAAAACTGTAATATCTCAATCTTAAACATCCTAGGTTGAATACAATCCTGTTTTATCTCAAACTCTACCAAGAAGATTATTCTAATTTTTATTAGAATCGTTATAATTATGCCACATTTGTCATTTTTTTTATATCAGGAATTTCCTCTCCACATCCACGCTGCTGACATTTTAAATCAGATAATCCTCTGTTACAGGGAATTTTACGTGCATTGTAGAATATTTATGAATATCTCTGAGTTCTATCCACAAGATGCTAGTAACATCAAGTTGTGACAACAGCAAAGTCTTGAGACACTGCCAACTAGGAGTAGAGTGCAAAATCATTCCTTACTGAAAACTATTGAAGTAGACTGGTTTTCAGTGAAAATGCTAATTTGACATACAATGTATTTTCAGAGGTTTTATGGATGAAAACGAAGTTTCTATAGATGAAAACTAAAGGAAGTAAGGATAATACTTCCTCCTACCTATCAGATAATTTAATAGTTGTTTAAAGTTTTAAAACATTATCCCATGTAATTCTTTAACACTTAGAATATATTGTATGTGCATTTTTATATAGGACAAACCTGAAATTTTTTTTTAAAAAGGTGTTTCTAAAGATTACTCATAATAAGCTGGAGACTTAAAAATTTGATTTCTAAAATTTATATTTATTTATTCAAAAAATTGATTAACTGCTGAGATGATACAGTCAATGTAATTGGCATGATTCTTTGCTTTGTGTTATTACTTCTAGAATACATTTTCCTTTTTTATTTTTTTCAGCCATGTTTTTCAGCCATGCCCAATTGTGCTCAGGGCTAATTTCTGGCTCTAGGCTCATAGATCAATTGTTGTGGGGCTTGGGGAACCATATACAGAGCCAGGTTCAAAACTGGGTTGGCTACATGGAAGGAACATACCTTATTCTGTACTTTCTCTCATGATCTTGAGGATTATTTTTAAAATATAGATGTATATACACATATGCATATATGTAAATTATCTACTCTTCCACACATTTGAAAATGGACTCTATATAGTTTTTTTCCCCTTCTATATGTTAAGCATAATTATAAGAAATGTATGTCTTTCCCTTTAACTGACTCCCTGATGGAAATGTATAGTAAATAATTTCTAAAATAAACCAGGAATACAAATTATATATATTATAATTCTAGTTTACAGAGAAATATAGAGAGTTCATTTTTATTATATATACGTATACTTATAATGTAAACTAAAATTATGAGAATTGGTTTAGGTAAATAGGTATATTTTTTTATCAGACACAGTTTTATGTAAATCATTTTTTTGATTCCTTTTTCTCCCATGCCCTTTAGTTGTTGAGATGAGCCTGGGCTCTTACATACTTGGTTTAGATGCTCATTGGGAGCTGATCATTTAGTTGTGCTTGCATACATTTTAGCTGCAGTGCTCACCACTTTTCATAAGAGGGTAAAACACTTAATTGGGTATACATTCTGCATTGTGGCACCAGGATTCTGAACTTTAGGGACCATGCTTAGCATATATGGAGGTAAGTGCTAAGGATAAAGGTCATAGCCTACATTTTCAATGAGGGGGTTTGCCTCTGAACTATATCCAGGTCCCCAGAAGTTATCTTAACCCTCACTTTCAAAGCTCTACTGGGTTTATTGTATTGATGATGATAAAAACAGCTGATGATATTATTATCCCTACTGACTTGCTCTTCTACCTTGAACATGCATCTTGCTTGCTTCTTTGTACATCTCTTTGTGATGTGTGTGTGTGAGTGTGTGTATCTGTGTGTGTGTGTTTGCAATTGTTTCCAACTCTTTACTGAAGATCAAAACAGAGGAAATAGACTATGCTGCCTACACATCTCATGATAATTGGAGACAGATCACTTTCAATAGAAAAAAAGCTATCACAATTAATAAGTTGACAGCTTAAGGGGTTAATGATAAATTATATTACTTTCTGCATCTCCTGGTTCAGACTTATTTGCAAATGCCTGTAATTATGTAGATCTCATTACATATAAAGTTTAATTGCAACCGTGGCTGGTATCTGGTCTCAGACACATTTTTCCATTATTTCTTTCCATGTTTCTATATTTCTTTACTTGCTTATTTCTACTCCCAAGAAGCCTGTGTTGGTTCTTAAACACAATTCCTCATGTTTCTATATTTCTTTGCTTGCTCATTTCTATTCCCGAGAAGCCTGTGTTGGTTCTTAAACACAATTCCTCTGAGTATCTCCTCACAACTTTCTTTTTTTTTCTTCTTGTATTTATTTATTAAATCACTCTAGGCAGAGTTTTTTGCCCCCGTGCCTGGCTGTCCTCACTGGGGCCCCTTGGAGGGGGGCGGGTTGAGTTTCCCTCCCCGTCTCGAACAGAGCTCCAGAACCAGCCACCACCATGCTGAGACCACTCTCCACACACATGAAGCTACCGGCAGAGGAACAAAGGCATGCGGGTCCCGGGGGCTGAGATCTCCAAGCCTGCTCGGATCGGGGCTGAGCATCCTCCACCCAGATCCTCCATCTCCCAGTAGGCAGAGGTCACACCCACCATCTGACCCCCAGCGCCGTGTAATCCCATCAACGGCCAAGACCCAGAGACTATAAAACCCAGCTCCCGGAAGCACGTAGCCACGTTCACAGCCGCGTGACATCTAATTATCTCATTCTTACTTTGAACAACCTGGCAGGTTACCGAATGTTACCTGCCCACACGGCGGAGTCTGGCAAACTCCCCGTGGCATACCCAATATGCCAAATACCAGTAACAATGATGGGTGTCATTCTGCTAACCTCAAAAGAGCCTTGAATATGGCACTTCTTAAAATCTCAGGGCCAGGATGAAGGAGACGTTACAGGGGCCTGTTTGAGGCAATCGAGAAACAACAGGATGATCATGATCGTGATCATGATCGTGATCACTGTAGGAAAAGTTATAAAGCTTTCAGGTTTAAGTCTTGGTCATATAATGATCAAACACCTTTCTATTCGTCAGTACTCACTTAACTCTTCTCTACATTGATTACATTCATTATTTCTACAAAAGATGCACCATTATTGTTTAGAATTTCCCCCCCTCCCCAACAATCAGAATTGCTGAAAAGGCATTGTGAAATACTTTGTTTTCTATAGCTGGTTATGAGAATCATATAATGTCAAGTGGCCACGACAGCAGCCATGCAATTTTGGATTTCTGCAAAAAGCCTGATAATTACAAGATTGGTTTCTGTGCATCTGGTGTTATGGCTGTACCGGAGAGCTGCTCGTGGGAGAAAACTCGTGACCTCAGTAGGATGTGAAGGGCAAGCTGGTACCTCCCCCCTTTTCATGAGACTGCAGTTGCCCCGTCACCGCCGGCTCATGCCTGGCTTTCCTATAAGCTCTGGGGTGGTGGCCATCTTGCTGCTGGTGAGGGGAGGGGCGGGGGAAGGCAGAAGGGAGCAACACCATTTCCCTCCCAGGGAGGCATGGCACCATAGTTTAACGCATGGTCCATTCACTTTTCTGCCACAAGCTGCCAGGCTCTGGATTAAGTCCTTTTGCCTCTGGAGCCATCGCTGTGCTGGAGAGCCACTCTTGGGGGGCAATTTGTGACCTTGGTAGGGCATGAAGGACGAGCCAGTACTGCTTCCTATCCCATGAGACTGCCGTTGCCCTGTCACCACCAGCTCATACCTGGCTTTCCAATAAGCTCTGAGGCGGCGGCCACCTTGTATGCGCTCCAGATGCATTTCTGCCAAAAGTCACTGGATTTCGAGATTTGTTTCTGAGTCTCTGGGATCATGGCCATTAATCAGCTTGATCAGGAGCCAGAGAGGTCGTTTGTAGGTGGCGACTCGGGGTCTCATTAGGATGGGGATGAAAGGACGAGTTCCACCCCCACCTGGTGAGGCCCTGCGTGTCTCGTCACAGCAGACCCAAACCTGACTGTCCAGTGACCTCTGGAGTATGATGGGCACCAGGCCGCCAGGAGGAACAGGCCAATACACGAAACCTATTTCTACCTGGAGTGGCCCAGGGCCAGTAACCTACTGCAGGAACGGGACGCATTTCTGCCAAAAGCCTTTGGGTTCCGAGATTTGTTTTTGAGTCTCTGGGATCATGGCTATTAAGCAGTTCGATTAGGAGCCAGGGAGGCCATGCCTCCAATTATATAGCTGAGCTGGAGGCGGTTTGTGGGTATGTCTCCCACATACCTAAATTTTGGTTGTTTGCACTCTTGGTAAACTTTGCCCCAAGTTTTTGGGGTCCGGCCAAAGGCACAGCAGCAATTTTGGGGTATCTGAAAGTCTGACAGTGCCATCAGGCTGCTGATGCACTCGCCTCACAGGTACAGATTGACCTGCTGGTGGCACCATACCCCCTCTCCTCACATCTTTCTAAGCAGGTTTTGTTCCACAAAAGTACAATGATTCACACACACACACATATGCTGTTTTGTCTTAGTGTTACACCTGGCAGAGTGCAGGGTTACTCTCAGTGAGGTGCTCAGGGTTTTTAGAAGTGCTTGACAGAACAAGCAGTGTCAAGGATCCAACCCAGGCCTTTCAGATGCTAAGCCTATACAGTATTGCTCTAAGCTATCTCTTCAGACCCAATTCTTAAGATACCAATTTTTCTGCCAAAATGTCACTATATTATCAAGAAAATAGGTAAAGGGGTTAGAATGCTTTATAATCCATGTTACTTTCAATGCATTTTGTGTTTTTTTCAGGTTTACCTGATTCTAAGTTATTGAGTGACATGGCACCAAGGATAACTCCTCCAGAAATGACATTAATTAGGGTTTCTAAAGCCTCATTTATATCATCATTGAATTATATTTTTCAGTTCAAAATTTGTAGTATAATTTAGCCAGATTTTGTTTGTCAAATAACACATTGTAAAATACTCGGGACTTTTTTTTTTATGTAGGAGTACTGCTATTTATTCAGCCACTGATTAGCTGATTGAATATTTGGGACATTTTTCT